GTAGGTATTTGGTCAGTGCTTTCCAGGTGCTGAAAGCCGCGAGAGTATCTCCACCCAATCATCAGCAAGTAGAGTCAAGCGAGCGGAGTTAAACATACCTTTTGACGCAGAATGGGACACCGTTCTGTTATATATTGCAGCGACTGTGCCTGCGAGGTCTTGAGGCAGAAGAGGCTGTGTACCTTCGCCAGGCGCAACTGTGAGATTGAAGATATGAAATGCCAAGCAATGCTTGATCAAAAGCATAGGATTGGTAGCGTTTTCGAAACAAGCAGCAAGCGGCTGAGCAAGCTGTGACGTCTCAAAGCGAGAGAGTTCCGATTCGAGATTGGCATCAAGCGGTATGCTCCGATTGTTGTAGAAGTTTTCGACGTGTTGGTCGATCTGGTCGATTACTGTTGAAAGCTTTGTTCGCACTTCCGCATCGGCTGCCTGCTGTGGAAGAAAGTCAAGGCCTCCCATGGCTGCTACAGAAATCATCGGAGTTCCTTTCTCCCCACCGTAACGAGGCTCTGAGCCAGGTACGTAGGCACCTCGAGCTGCGTTTCTGTTGCGCTTCGCACGTTTCTTGAAAATGAAGAAAGATATGAGAGCAGCGATCAATGCTCCTGCAACGAAACACCCCACTGCCGCTCCTGCAATGGCTCCGGTGTCATTACTCCGCCCTGGCGAAGGCGACGAGGTGCCACTCTGAGCGGCGCTCGTAGCAGCGCCTGTATTCGAGCTTGCAGCGGTTGCCGTGGCGGATACACTTGTCACAGCGTCACTACTGGACACTGACAGCGTTGCACTCTGAGCTGTGGAATCCGTGACTTCTAACCATAGAAAGGCAGTGGAGTTGGTTGAAGCACCGCCTGATAACGTTGTGTTGTAGATGACGGTTGATTGGGTTACGGTGACTTCTATATTAGATGTAGGCCAGTAGCAGTTTGAAGTTGGAGGGCTCCTGCATGCTACGACGGCTGAGATTGTAGGATTGGGCGGGACACCCGGTGTACCAGATGGCGAACCTGAGAGATTTGTGGCAGACATACTGCGGGTGACAGGCGCAGGCCAGGACAGAATACGTCTTGGTAGGAGTAGATATTGTAGACCTTTCGCACAAGAATTGAGGTGAAGAAGGAAGAAGACAGGCGTGCAAGTATTGCTGGCTTCAGGCTGGTCCACCATCTAAGCGGCGTGCAGATGTCCAGTCCACGGTACAAGTCAAGGCAAGTGCAGCCGAGCGGCACATTGCAGGGTTCACAGCAGCTAGCAAACACCGCCCCTGAGCCTGCTGCCGCATATCACATGCACTAGTGCTGCACGGACATCTCAATGCCCTTCGCTTCACTCTTGAACGAAGATCCAGAAGCAGTTTTGCCCAAACGAGACATGTTTGGTGCATCTCTTGGAGATATAGCCCCAATTCGCAGGCATTCTGATAGGCTCGTGGAGCCCTGTTTGCAAGTTGGAGGACACCATGCCTTGCATGCACGGTAACATGTAGTAGTCGTCGCTACCGATGCAGCCACCGAATAAACTCTTCCGAGACTCGAGCTCTGGCGTGCTTCGTCAAGGTCAGCCGGAGCAATGAGCTTCGAAGACATTTCACGCCGCATATTGATTCGTGCAAGACAACAAGCTGCTCAGCCTGATCTCGAAATAGGACTCCAGATCTGTTTGATCGTATATTCGATCTCGTGACGTTTCATTGAAACTCCAGCGAGGGGTTCTCCATCAACACGAGTTTGCGAGCTCGAGGAAGGAAGGTTGATAACGAACGACCAGATTGATCAGGCTTGAAGATGGCATCTAGGGGCACGCCCGATGTCGTTATTGGCATCGACTTTGGCATGACTCAGACAGGTAAGTAAAAGCTGTACATACTTGTCGCTTAGACTAATTCAATAGGTGTCGCATACTGTACTGCTCCATGGAATAACGTGAAGCGGTTCCAACAATGGGGAGCGATCGTTTCTGAAGTAGCAAACAAGGTCCCAAGTCGAATAGCTTATTCAACGCACACCAACGGCTTCAAAGGATGGGGCTTCAATTGTGATTTTGATGATCCTGATTCCGAGATTCAGGAATTCTTCAAGCTGTATCTGGACCCGGAGTACCGTGACGACTTTGACGGCGTTACCAATGCCGACGCTCAGCGGTATTATCGCGACTATCTGTCGCTGATCCACAAGCACATTGTAGGCTTCTTTAACGACCGGTTTCCGGACTTCGGGTCGAGGGCGGTGGAATTTATCTTTAGCGTGCCAACAACATGGCGCAATCCAGCATTGATTCACGACCTCGAGGTGATCATCAGAGACGCCGGCTTTGGTAGAGATGGCCCGCGGCACATGGCAAAGATCACATTAACAGAAGCAGAAGCAGCAGCTGTTAATGTGGTAGCTGACTATGTCCAGCGAGACGATGTGATCTGCATCTGTGATGCTGGTGGTGGTACGACAGATGTCAACATCCTTAAACTCAAGTCTGCCAAAGGACAACCAATCAAACTGCAACCGCTATCGAAAGTCGAGGGTGCAGCAGTCGGGTCAGCACTCATCGATATCAGAGTACAGCAGTATCTCGAGCAGCGTCTGATGACAGCTGCACATCTTCTCAACGCATCACCACAGGAAGTTGCGGAGAAAATGATGCAAGGACGTTTCGAGCGATTCAAATGCACCTTTGGCACCAGTGCTGCCAACTTGCCTGCGTTGGTCCTTGAGATTCCTAGTATGCCAGCAGGCACGAATTATCCACCTGCAGATATTCAGAACTCTCGACTATCGATATCGCAGACCTTCTTGCAGAAGCTCTTCGACGAGCAGGTGGACGCCATGATCCGCTTACTGACAGAGCAGCTCGTGTCTCTGCAGACCGTGGTGCCTGGAGAACGTGTGTCGTACCTAGTGCTTTCAGGCGGACTCGGTTCTTCGCAATACGTGCGTGACCAGATAAAGCAGTACTTTCAATTTGGTGCAGGAGCAACGTTGTCAAACACTGCAGGCATGCATATGTTGCTGGCCGAAGATCCTCAGCTTGCAGTCGTGCTGGGCCTGGTAACAGACCGTGCGCAAGAGCTGGGTCAGCAGACGAAAACCATTACGCACCGTTGTGCTCGGGTCAGTTATGGCGTCGTCGTAAATCGAAGATATGATCCACAGAAGCATCACAGCCAGGTCCCCTACAAAGACCCTCGAGATAAAAAGCTGTGGGCACTGAATCAGATAGAGTGGTTGATCAGAGAGGTACGTTGGCCGACACAATCGTGGTAAAGGTGCTGACCATGTTACAGGGAGATCATATCGACGACAACGGTGTTTCCAAGCACGTTCGTGCGAAGTTACAGAAGGCTCAATTGAATCGGCCTTGGAGAGCACAATTTGTCATCTCGACAGAGAAGAGAGACAATCTACCCAGCGACTTGACTTCGCAGAGTGTGAAGACCTTATGTATTGTCGAGGCAGACTTGAGGTTCATCGATCGCATAGCGAAAAACGCGCACTGGTGGCAGCTGGGTCAGAAATACGAGCTTGCTGAGTTCGACTTGAAACTGGTCGCTGGTTCGGCTGATCTGAGGTTTCAACTGTTCAACAATGGCAGGTTGATTACAGGAGAGAACGAGAGTGTCGCTGTAGATTGGGGGTCCGGAGCGCCTGTGATGGATCAGAAGGAGTATTTCGATATCAAATGAATGATAGATGGATGTACAATGGAGTTCTCGGCCGGCCAAGTTGTGTAGGCTCGGTAGGAAGCCTGGCTCCTCCCGGATGAGCAAAGTGGCCGCCCGCACCGCCGTATCTAAGCACAAATTTGGCCACTTTGCTCGTCCGGGAGGAGCCTGGGATGAGTGGATACGGAGGTTCTTGAAAGCAAAGAACGCCGTTTTGTTCCTACAGCTTGACATGGCAACCGTACTTTGGCTCAAGACCGGCACCAGCATAAAGCAGTCCAGTGGTCTTGCCAGCCTCGAAAACCTCCTTTCTGCTTCCTCCCGTACACTGGGGGCCAACACAAGCGATACGAGCGCTCCCTTTTTACCGTTCGATCTTTCTACCCATCATGGAGCACTCTATTTCTGACATACTGCTTGGCACCCTTTCTGTGATAGCTCGATGGATGTCGCAGCGAAGCATCGGAGCCGCAAGCTCAGCGGCATTGCCGCCGTCGATATCCGTGGCGATGGCTAGCCAGGGCGTTTATTAACGCGCAAGACAAATCTCTATGTGTGATTATGCACATTTCGAATGTTCAGGTGGCCTCTGCCATTGTGCAATGTTCAAATGAGTGGTGTGTTGATCACTAAACATTGCAATCCATCATCTAGGGACCGCGAGTTGGCAGCTAGCACCTCGATATGAACAGCAGGACTCGATCTCGGCTTACACCCCCATGAGGAGTATCGAAAGGTAGCACGAATCCTATATGGTTCGAGACAGCGAACAACGAGGAGACCATGTCATCGCATCAATCAAACCGTCCACACGAGCTTAGACAATCTCTGAGAAGCCCGAATCTCCATGGCCAATACGGAATTCCTTGCAACCGGTTTAGACTCACAGGCATTTGATGAGTAGAAGAATAACCAGTTTCGAACATCCGCCACCCGGTTGGCGCTCCCTCGATCCGACCTCTCATCCTTCCTCGATCGGAATAGGTACTCTTTTCGACACAGCACTTGCATCTCTGGTGGGCGCTGTCACGGGTTTTCAGTCCTGTTCGTGGCCGGTGCTTAGCACAACTATTGTTCAATGTCAACAGACGTACCCGACGATTCACTTCTGTCATCAAACTGAACATTGGAAGATCTGGGATTCAGGGCAAATGATCTCAAGTGGCCGCGACTTTTGAGTACACTGTGACGCATATCAAGGTTTCAAACGCAGAAGAAGAGCGGTATCTTGCTAATTCCGCAATTAAACAAGGCTTGACCGGTTTTGAGGTTTCGGAGAGCGCAAAAAAGCAAAAATAAGATGAATGATAGTTGTTGTCAACTATTGGGTAACCATTTGGGTAGGTCTTACCCGGATTCGAACCGGGGTTACCGGAAGATTCAGACATTTTACTATCAGAATCCGATGTGCTGAAGCAAGTTAGCCGACGTTCATGGTGAAGGCGAAGCGTGTCACCCTACCTAACCGCTACACTATAAGACCTTTCGACTTGCTCGAGGCATGTCAGATGATCTGGGTCATTTTGAGCACCAAAAATGCTTCATGTTGTATATGACTCAATTCATGCAGGCGCAGCAAAGTGGATCTCTGCAGCCGCCTCGGGCGCGGTAGATTCGATCGGAAAACCTCGAATGTGCGTTGTGCCGAAAGGTGAACGAGGGGAAAACAGCAAACTCGAACGGCTAAGCGCGGAGAACGGCGGATTGGCAAGGAGGGCAGCGGCAGGCAAAATGCGAAGAATCGGAGATGGTCGAAGCCGCTCCTTATCGATTGGCGTATTCTGTGCAAAAGACCGAGAAGATCGGATCTCCCAACGCCGCATGCGCCGGGAAGAAGAGGAATCACGTGACTGGGCCTCGTCTATGGTGTTCTTCGTTCTTCGTAATTTGTGCATCGGACAACTTTACCATGTTATCATATGCGGTTCAGCTTGCTGTTGAGGAGAGGGCGAATTGTTGATGGCAGTCATACGAACCGCTCAGGAGACGTTGCACGTGATGAGGCGCACCTGCCATCTGCGCTTGTCGGCCATTCCTTCCTCCAGGTCAGCTGCAGCATTTTGCCTAAGGTGTCGATGCCTGTCGAAACACCAAGCTACCCATTGCCCAGGAACTAGCAAGGCCTCACCTCGAGACTTTAAGGCATAACATCAAATATCGGCATTGTGATGAAGATCAGGAATGAGGTCCTGCAGTACTGCGCATACCGCAACCCTTGAGCGCAGTGCCGTCGACTATGTCATTAGTCGATGTATGCAGACTCTGAACTGGGCCAGACACGGAACTGGCTGTCGAAATGATGGTAGGGATTCAAGGAGCATGTAGCATTAATGAGTTCGTAAGCATACTATCCACTTACGTCGGACTAAACAAAACCCTTCCCATCCAGCGACACCCAATGCCATAAAAGTAAACATCAACGCTTAGACTGTCTGTGCTGCTTTCTCATCAGCCCTCTGCCTGTCCTCATCACTCCCCTGCTCAGTGGTGCTTCCGACCGTGCTCGCACTGGCCCTGCTCCCCCTCCTGGCCATCGGATCCGGCTCACCAGGCGTAATCCCAACATACCCATCGAACACTGTGCTCGACAGTCTTCTCGCTCGTCCACCACCCATCTTCTTCGCCCTTTGTCGATAAAACACTCTCTTGCCCCACTTCCACGCCTCAATACCACCGAAGAACAACACAGCCTCAACGATAACAATGCCCCACTCCCACGTGATACCAGTGTGCTTGAACACATCATGGTTGATGACGGGTACGTAAAGAATAACGAAGATCGAGACAAAACCGAACATAACAGACCAGAACAAGAACTTGTTTCGCCAGACGTCGTGCATCCACTGGGTGAAGACCAGCTTGGACTTGGGCTGCATTCGGAAGAATGAGCGACGGAAGTTGATGAGTTCCCAAGCCAAGAAGAGGGAGAACCAGGTCATGGAGACGAAGGTCGTGGCTCGTGCTCTGAATACTGTGTCGCAAGAGTCGGAGTAGGCGTCGTTACAGTTTGTACCTTCGATTCCGTTGCCCCAGTTGTAAGTTACCAGTGAGAAGGACGAGAGACAAAGCGCAGCCATCCAAATTCCGTAGAACAAGATATCAACGAGCAGCTCGGTCGTGAAAATGCCGCGTTTGAGATTCTGTGGTGGTCGTTCCAGAATATCTGGCGCGGCGACTTCGAGACCGAGACCCATGTCGGGAAGACCGGAGGTAATCATAATAACCCACATGATCTCGACAGGCGACAGGGGGAAGACCGACAGGTTGTTGCTGTCTTTAAATGCAAGACCGATAAGCAGAGTGCATGCTTGCGCAATATTCTGTGCTAGCAAATGCAGCACGAATTTCTGGATGTTGTCGAAGATACGTCGACCTTCCTCCACGGCGTTAAGGATAGATGCGAAGTTATCGTCCGTCAGAATAATATCGGATGCGTCCTTTGCAACATCGGAACCTGCTTGACCCATTGCAATTCCCACGTCGGCTCGCTTTAGAGAAGGTGAATCGTTCACACCGTCACCTGTCATAGCCGCGAAGAGATCACGCCTATGCAGGGCTTCGATCATACGCACCTTGGTATTCGGTGCACAACGAGCGATCACCAACGGTAAGACTGGTAAGTTGTCGATTTCCTCGTCGGTAAGCTTGTCGAATTTTGAAGCTGTTGTGACCATTGTATCTTCCATTTCTTTGCTGACGGAGCTAAGCTTCTCTGGTACAATACCTATCTGTTTGGCAATAGCGAGAGCGGTACCGGGATGATCACCAGTAAGCATGTGGACACCAATGCCTGCTCGGTGGCAGTTCTTGACTGCACCCTTTGACTCAGGACGTGGAGGATCGAAGAGACCGATCAGACCGCGGAAGGTGAGCTCTTTCTCAACGTGCTCACGGTCATCTTGACCGGTCGGTCCAGTGTATGTTTTGCTGGCAAGTGCAAGCACTCGTAGACCTTGAGATGCGAGGGCCTCCATATTGGCCAGAATGTCTTCTTGGATATCTTCCGTAAGCTCTTCTGGTTCGCCCTCGCCTTTCAAGTCAATGTGGGTGCAGGCTTCAATAACTCTTTCGACTGCACCCTTGGAGAAAGCGACTGGCTTTTCGGAGCCCTTTTGCTGAAAGATGACAGACATTTTCTTGACGTCGGATGAGAAGGGGTATTCTGTCAGCAGTTTCCACTCCGCACCTTCTCCTTCCACCTTCTTGCGTCTGTTCCAATTGAAGCGAGACGCGAAGACCTGAATTGCGATTTCGGTAGGGTCACCACGGGCGGTCCAGCCTTCACCCTCGGTAGATTTGTACACAGTAGCGAGGTTGGCGAGGGATGCGACTTTGAGAAATTCTTCGAGCGGGCCATTGTCTTTGAGAAGATCTCCGAAGGGTTGGGCACCACCAACGTCGGGTGGAATTTCGTCGTCGAGGGAATCATCGTCGCCAGGGCCACTTTCAGCGTAGTGTAGATCGCCCACGTTAGGGTTGAACGGTTCGCCGGAATCGCCGACAGAGTAGGTACCTTTGGCCGGGATCCATGCTTTCTTCGCTACCATCTTGCCTTGGGTGAGGGTACCGGTCTTGTCAGAGCAAATGTCGGTGACAGCACCCAGAGCTTCTAGAGCGTTGAGCTTTCGTACGATGACGTGCCTTTCGACCATTCGCTTGGTTCCTGCTGCCATCGTGATCGTTAGAACGACAATAAGTGAGGCAGGAATCATGGAAAGACCAGTCGCCACGGCGTAGATGATAACTTCTTGGTTGTTGGTAAACTCGTTGGCTGCGAGCACGATAATTGCGAAGACGACTGCGATTCCGAAGAGGCCAATAGCCAGCTGAGATAACTTGCGTTGTAAAGGTGTACCGACGTTCACACCTAGGAAGTGACCAATAAAGTCGCCACCTGTCAAAGCCCAGGCTTGAGCTTGACGATGTGGTTTTACTTTTCCGTCCGGAGTTCTCTTGGGCTCTCTGACCCGTGAATTTGTACCTCGGAGTGCTGCTGCGATTGTGCCGATTTCTGTGAACATCCCAGTGGCAAAGACAACACCTTTGGCGCGACCTTTTGTGACTGTACTAGATGAGAACGCAACGTTCAGTCTGTCGCCTGGTCCGGTATCTTCGGGGAAGGTTTCCTCGGATATTTTGGTAACTGGAAGCGATTCTCCTGTTAAAAGAGCCTCATCGGTTTCGAAATTCATGACTTCCAGGAGACGGATGTCAGCTGGAACGGTGTCACCAGTCTTCAACTCAATCATGTCACCTGGCACGACTTGGATAGTTGGTACCGTAAGCTGGTCTCCGTTTCGAATAACTTGCGATGTTGGCGAGGAAAGTGATCGTAGCGAGTCCATAGTTTTCTCTGCCGAATATTCTTGCATGAACCCGATAACGATGTTGAGGATGATAATAGCAGCAACTACGCCGCCTTCAATCCAAGACTGAATACCGAAGGATACACCCATCGCGAGGATAAGCACCAACATCATGGCGTTGGCGACTTGCCTGACGAGGATTTTGGTAGGGTTAACACCTGGTCCATTATCAAGTTCATTGTTTCCGAATTCCTGTAGCCTGGATTCTGCTTCTTGAGGGTTGAGGCCATCGTTGCCGCTAACACCAAGCTCTTTGATAACCTCTTCGAAGCTCAAGCTATGTGCTGGCTTTGACATAGGCTTGTTGGATTGACCTGACACATGGTCATCGAGAGGGCTCTTTTCTTTCCCCATGGTGTCGATTCTGTCTTGGTTGGGATGAACTGAAGGCTAAAGCGTCCAGCGATCTGGGCGAACATGATTTAGTATATAAACAGATCAGCCGTTTGGCTTTCGCACCTTGCATGACGAGCATCGGACAAGACAGTCTTGGGGCTGGCCACACGAAATGCTTGATCGAGCTCGTTCTCCATCGCCAACCCAACGACCGATTGATGATCAGGCTGGGGCGTCACGGATAGCAAGCGATACAAGTGGGGAGCGACAAGAAAGGCTGACACGACATACGGGCAAATCATAAACCTTGATTGATGGAAAGCAACGTGCTAGTGGAGTCCTCCACTAGCCAAGGAATCTAAAGTTCTTGGTAGCGAAAACCCAAGAGAACGTTTCTTGTGCCATGATACGTGATACGTGAGAAGAATGCAGCTGATGCGCATCTGACCTCATAGGATGGGATACCGCCTCGAGGACCATCCTGTGAAGGTAAAGTCAGTTCGAAGGTTTTGGTGTGCTAGCCGACAGAGATAGGAAAGTTGAAGTTCGTATTGTATGCCACGAGGTGAAGGTAGTTAATGGGACTCGTGCGAGCTGCGTGATAGGTAACCAGTACCAGTCAACAGCCATGCGCGGCGACGAGAGTCGGGGAGTCTTGGAATGTCTAGGCAGACAAGGATAAAGCGGCAAAGCGGACAACACCATCGTCGAAAAATCAAGCAGAAGAACCTTTGTGGCCCCCGGGAGTGTTTGCTATGAAGGTGTTGAGAAAGAGAACGGC